TATATATATATATATATATATATATATATATATTTTTTTTTTTTTTTAAATAAGGTGATCTAGTATTGTCAAAGTGTACTTGGTGAAATGACATGATCTAAGGATTGTAAAATAATTAAACTTGAGACAAAACTTAAACAACTAAATTTGGTTTTAAACAAGTACATTTGGATGACAAGTTTAGACTGTTTTCCTAAAATTGTGTTTGGCAAGTTGCAGAATTTAAAACTCATTTTGGCAGATAAAAAAACTATGTTAAAAAAAATTGAACTCAAGTTTTGGAAACAGGAAAAAACAGGAAGGCTGCTTACTGATTGCCATGCTCAGAACATTTGAGCTAGAACAGCTAATTTATAAGTAACTGGTTTACTTGAATTAAACCATAATGAATGATTATTGGATACATCTGTTTATCACCATTCTGTGATTTTGAAGTGACAGATCACCATCTCCAACCCTTCACCGTCTCACCCAAACCCAGAAATGTTGGAGTCATTGTCGCTTCCTGAATAGTATTTCTCAAATAAATAGGGTTGCAGTCCTTCATTAGGACCAGCTCCCTCTTCTTCATCAGTCTATCTAGTGTCTTTCTCCAAAACTGCAGATAATTTCCTTGGACATTTGCTAAAATTTCTCAGAACTTCCTCTGCTTCTGTGTAATCAGCATTAGTTATTTACGTTTTGGGTTACCCTGTATGTCACACCGGTGACATATAGAGGGTAACCTCAGAAGAAAATTGCAACAAAGCAATGCAATGTAATTTATAGTAGTCTGTGAGAAATGTATATATTAAAAGCTTTTGTGTAGCAGTGAATCTTTTTCGTGATGTCTTGGTTTTTATCTTGTCATGGACTATTATAGTTAGTAATGCAAGTAAAGAAAATATCCTAGATGTAGTTAAATTATTTATGATTACTTTTCCAAACATAGTTAATATTGTATTCTTCCATGACAATTGTATAATGTTTTTCTTATGATTTATTTGGACTGGCAGGTAAATATCTATCGGCTGGTGACAAAAGGCTCAGTGGAGGAAGATATCATTGAGAGGGCAAAAAAGAAAATGGTTTTAGACCACCTCGTCATTCAAAGAATGGACACTACAGGAAAAACCGTCTTGCATACTGGATCTGCACCTTCTAGGCAAGCAACACAGGCCATACTCTGCTGCTTTCCTTTTTCCTGGCTGCTCTGACAACACTTTTATAACACTAATTAAAATTTGTGTTACAAAAGTAACAATAATCACTACATCTAATGTCAGTGTTTCTGGTACACAGCTCAGCACCTTTTAGCAAAGAGGAGCTCTCTGCAATTCTGAAGTTTGGTGCTGAAGAACTTTTTAAAGAGCCGGAAGGTGAAGAGCAAGAGCCTCAGGTATGTTGTACAACAATTGCATTACTGCAAAAGTGGTCATGGTCGTGGAACTTTCATGAAACAGTTTTTCTACCTTTGCTGTGACATTTACCTTCAACAATTCAACTGTAAAACAGTTATTGGCATGGACAGATTAGCCCCAGACACCAGACAACATTCTTAAAATGTTCCATTTAGAAATCTGGGTGTTTAAATTGACCCAAGGAAGATAAGTGCTGCATTAAAGGTGGAAACTTTAAATTATATTTCACGGTCAGTGTTTTTTATATCACAAAAACCTGGTTGAACATAGGTGCGTATATTTTTTTAAGAACAGTTTATTTAATATTACTGAAATTATCTGTGGTGTGGGCAAAAAATACATAGAAATTTGATGTATTTTTTTTTTAAAAAGTATACATTTTCACATTTTTGCTTTGAGATAATATTTAATTACTTTATACAGTAAAAATGTGGGTGAGAATAATAGTGATACAATATTGAATTCAGTAAAATAAGTATTTTGAAATTAGAGATGGGAATTGATACAAATTTAGCAATATTGATTCCATTACCCATCTCACTTAACAATTCGATTCCTCATTAATTCTGTTGTTGATTCTCATTGAGTTAGAAAATAAACAATTTAATAAAAAAAATGCACCATGTTCCGTTTGATTCAGACAAGCTGGCTTAAAAAATAAGAATCCATCTGTCAAAAGAAATGCAACTTTTCACACAACAGTTTTTGTGCAGAGAAATTTGCATTTCTTTCAAGACACAGAGTGTCTCCAGGTTTTGAAAACATCATCTCAGATGTTACTTAATGCCAGAGGTGAAAATAAGTATTTTCACCTCTGGCATTTTTCTCTTCCCTGTCTTGATGGAGGTAGCTAAAACTGTGTGAGAGTTTAACCTCTAAGCCAGCATCACTCTGGCAGCCGTCATCAACTACAGTCGTAATCCATAAATTTGAATATTAATGAAAAGTTAATGTATTTCAGTTACTCAGCTCACAAGTTAAACAGATTACATAGATTAACTCCCCACAGAGCCATGTTTTAAAGCTTTTATTTATGTTGAGTTCTTGCTTAAAGCTAATGTAAACATAAAATTGTATGTATTGGTCTGATGGAATATTACATTAAATCAAGAAAAAATATTCTAAATTCTGAAATGTGGGTCTAATGAAAGATGTGCTTCATACCTGCTCAAAGGCATTTTTTGTGAAATGTAAACATACTTTGGAGCACTTCTGCCACAACGCCATCTTGGACATGTTTTAAATCAAAATACAGAGCATGTACAATACGTCATCATGCAAATACATCTCACGTTATTGGAAATTGCCATTAGCCAGGAAGATGAACTATTCTAAGGAACTGAATACCTACTTGAAATGGAAAATAAGCATAGAAAAAATATCTATGATTCAAGCCAGTGAGCTAAAATTAATAGCAATAAAGAAAGTGGCACAAGAGCCAAACATAAAGGTGAAATTAATGTTATTGCTCTGATTATTTTGTTGGGAATGTTGGCACTTGTGCTGGTCAGGAAATGGACATTGATGAGATCCTGAAGAGAGCTGAGACCAGGGAAAATGACCCTGGGCCGTCCACTGTTGGAGAGGAATTGCTGTCTCAGTTCAAGGTCAGAGAACTTTTATGACTGTTAGTCAACTATCCAATTTCTGAACACTTAATATTTATTTGTTTGGTCTTAATTGTATAGGTTGCTAACTTCTCAATGATGGAAGATGAAGATATTGATATTGATTCTGAGCGAAGTCAACGGAGCTGGGATGACATCATACCTGAAGAACAGAGGAGGAGAATGGAGGAAGAGGAAAGACAGAAGGAGCTTGAGGAAATTTACATGTTGCCACGCATGAGGAATTGTGCTAAACAGGTGCATACCACTCATGATATTATGAATTATATAAATAATATTATGAACGAGGAATATTCACTTCAAGGCAAAATATTCCATGCAGGCTGCAGGCTGAAAGAATTAGTTTAAGTTTGCTGAATAAATTGCATGCTTTGTCACTGCTACATTTTGGTGCATAACATGTGTAAAAAGTGTGAGAATTGAAAAGCTGTTTGGAGAGGAGCAGAATTTTCAGAAAGTTTGTTTCACACTCTAACACTACTAGAATTCCATCATGATCCCAGCACATCATCACACTATTGCACAACCAACACAATTATGTCTGAATACTTTGGGTCTAAAACCCAGAAAATGTGTCACAGGTTATATTTGCTGCATTTTCCACAAAATGTGTGGGCAAAACGGGACTGAGTGGGACAGGTTAGCACAGGTTAGCACAGCCAGACAGCTGATATTTATACAATAAACACAAAATGAAAAACATCATGGTTAATGATGTTTAATTTTGTGCCAAGTTATTTAAAAATAATAATAATAATAATAATTTCAACACATGAGACCAGAAAATCATCACTGACTCAAAAGGATACTGAAGATAAAACAAATGGGAAAAAATCCCCCCACATTGCAATGGTACCAAACACTAGTAAAGTGTATTTAAACCCTTGACTTTGAAGAAAGTAATAAAAATTGCCTTAAAGTTCTTTTCCCCATTATTTTGGCATTTAGCAAATAATTTTAAAAAAAGGTAATCCTAATTGACCTAAAATGGAAAATGTTTATTCTGATTTCTGTTGGGGGACGTATATTTTATTGGGATTTTTTTGTTTTGTTTTAGTCATATTCTTGCTTTTAGCATTGTGAGTTCTATTTGAACAACTGAGTATTTATTTTTTTTCTGGTTTGTGTTGGCAGATAAGTTTCAATTCTGATAGACGGCAGAGCAGGAATAGAAGATATTCTGGCTCTGACAGTGACTCCACTTCCGACCGAAAGAGACCAAAGAAACGGGGAAGACCTCGAACCATTCCACGGGAAAATATCAAAGGTTTTACAGATGCTGAGATCCGCAGGTGAAGCTCAGATGCATTGCTCTTCCTCATTTTGCTTCAGTGTGGTCTTATATTTAAACTGACTTATGTATGGACTCCTGCCAGGTTTGTCAAGAGTTACAAAAAATTTGGAGGACCACTCGAAAGGTAAGCTGTACTAGTGACTGATTTTTGTAAAGGCTCTCACTAACCCTAATTAAAGATGTATATAGCCTAATTTAACATCTGCTTTTTAACTCAGGTTGGATGCCATTGCTCGTGATGCTGAACTTGTGGATAAATCTGAACATGACTTGAAACGCTTGGCAGAGACTGTTCATAATGGATGTGTACGAACACTACGTGAAAACCCATGTGGGCCAGAGAAAACATCAGGTAGTCCTTTTTTTCTTATGAAAAATTAGGAAGATAAAAAAATACTACATTTCTTTTTTTTTTTTTTTTTTTTTTTTTAAAAAAAAATTTTTTTTGGATTTTTACAATTTTGAAAAAAAACTTTAAAATTTTTCAAAAAATTA